GGGCGATGCAAACTGTTCCAACAAACAATCCATTTCAGACCTCTCCAGAGCGACTTCAGGAAGTGCAGGGCTGGACCTCTGTTCCACCACCCACACAGTATTAACTCTCGAGATGGGGGTACAGGTCTTGCCTACCAGAATCTTTGGCCCTTTACCTCCAAACACCTTTGCAATACTTATAGGTTGTAGTAGTGCCACTATGGAGGGACTTCAAATCTTTCCAGGAGTTATAGATAATGACTATGAGGGAGAAATAAAAATTATGGCTTCCTCTCCAAATTTAATCACAACTATTACAGCTGGAAAGCGCAGAGCTCAACTCTTACTCCTTCCACTGCTTTCCACTCAAAATAACATCCAAACCTCCTTATGAGGTGAAAAAGGGTTTGGTTCCTCAAATGCCTATTGGGTCCAACAAATTTCTCCAGAGAAACCAATGCTTACTTTATGGTTAGATGGTAAACAGTTTTCTGGACTTGTTGACACCGGAGCCAATGTTACCATTCTCAGAAAAGACAACTGGCCCCAAACTTGGCCCCTAACACCAACCCTTACCCACCTAACAGGCATTGGTCAAAGCCAAAATCCAGAAAGGAGCACTAAAGTATTACAGTGGACAGACAGAGAAGGAAACCAAGGAACCATACAACCCTTTATTATAGAAGGTCTCCCCATAAACCTTTGGGGTAGAGATTTGTTATCACAAATGAACCTCATCATGTTCAGCCCTTCTGATAGAGTTACTGCACAAATGTTAGCACAGGGTTATACACCAGGAAAAGACATAGGGAAAAATGAATCAGGTATCATCCATCCTTTGATACCAAAACCTAAATTTAATAGTACAGGACTGGGAAATTTATCCTAACGGCCATTGATATTCCTGTATTCCATGCTGATAAAATCTCCTGGAAAGATGATGTGCCCGTGTGGGTTGATCAATGGCCTCTTCTGAAAAACTTCAAGCTGCCCAAATGTTAGTACAGGAACAATTTGAGGCAGGACACATTGTTGAGAGCACTTCACCATGAAACACCCCTATCTTTGTTATTAAGAAAAAAATCAGGTAAATGGCATCTACTCCAAGACTTAAGAGCAATCAATAAGACTATGGTTCCCATGGGAGCCTCACAGCCTGGCTCGCCATCCCCAGTAGCCATTCCTTTAGACTTCTTCAAAATAATTGTTGATCTCCAAGATTGTTTTTATACTATTCCTTCAGCTCAGTTAGTTGAGCTGCAGGCAGTCATTGCAGTCTTTTCTGCTTTTCCTAATATGCCTTTGAATTTATTATACTAGATTGGAGATGGAAGACCAACACCCCTATACTGGTCTTGCCTGAGGCACTGAATCGGTTAGCCAAAGATGGGAAAGAGAGTCTGATGAACCCAATAACTGTACAGTCCTTCCACCTAAGACAGGAAGCCCATCATAGTTCTGGGACTCTCCAATGATGGGTAAGGATGAACGTGTGGTTCCATAAACGGCTCCAACCTAAGACAGGCATGATTCCCCCAGGCCTTTTCCTCATCTCTCAAATTAAAACAGAAAAGGGGGACATGTGGGAGGCTGCACACCAGCAAGTCTGCTGAGGCTATTTTTCATGAGTCTCTTACTATTACCATCTTAGGCTCAGAGAGCAAACAATTACAAAGGCCACAATTGACTCCCCTTCAAAAACCTCACCTTCAAAACCATACTCTGATTGGCCACTTCCCATAGAAAATTGGTGAGCTTAGAATACCTCAGATTTGCATATCCAGGCACTTCATGATTGGTCCACAAAGCAACCAATCATAATCCACCTTTTACTATCTTTCATTCAACCAATCACGGCCCACCAATATGTATATAACCACAATTCGTGGCCCATAATAGCCAGACAACCCTGAAGACCCTGAAGAGCTGTGACACCATGCCATCTCTGGACGACCCTGAGCTGTGACACTGCGTCGTCTCCAGATGATCCTGAACACTGTGTTGTCTCCGTGCTGCCTACAATAAAGAGATGACCCTGAAGAGACACTGCGTCATCTCCGTGCTGTGACAGTGCGCCGTTTGTCCCGTCTCTCACTCCTTCCCTCAGGAAACCTGTTTGACTGTCCTGCGGGTCAGGACACAAGACTAAGAAAGGAGACTTTAGAAATTTTTAAAAATAATTAATTAATTAATTACATTTTTTATTTATTTCTATATTATTATTCATACATTAAATTGCTATACATCATTTAGATTATGAAAAGACTTTACTCAGCATGATATACACCTCAGTCCAGACCACCCGAGACCTTAGGATTTTAATGAACAATATGTGCATGATCAAAACTTTAACTTACAAGTGTTCATTAACTTCTCAAGATTTTTACAGTTTTATAGTTGTATCACAGTTATTCCTTGAAAAAAATACATGAGGTAGTATTTTGAAAATAATAATCATCATTTGAAATAAGTGAGCCCTTCTAAACTATTTTACTACAAACTTGGAAATTACTTTTAGGGAAGGAAAAATCAGAAATGTCAAAAAAGTTCAGAAACAATGAGGAAAGGAAAATATTCAATATAATCAAAATAAAAGAATGTTAGAAAGCACACATAACATTATACTTTATAAGTATTAATATGTACAAAGATTACCTGTCAATTTTATGTAATAATAATAATAATAAAGGGAAAAAAATAAAACAAGTGGGATCATTGATTAAGGGCCACAGGGGAAAAAAAGAGAAAATTTATTTATTTATTAATTTATTTAAGTTTTTGCTGTAGAGTGCATATGCTTGTCAGAGGCAGTGAGATGAAAAGTGAGAAATAACCCCTCAACAGTGATGGCCATACTGCAATCCCTTCTCCTTTATTCTCCTCTCAGGATTTTAGTTGTTTGCATATATGTGCCTGGTGTAATTTTCAAGCCACCAGGTCCAGGACTCAAACTCCAGTTGTCCATGTTGAAATATAGTGCCTTAAATACTACTTCATATGTTGGCCCCAAGAATAAAATATTTGAAGATACAAAATGGTTATGATTCTAGATGCCACCCTTTCTTTTCAAAATTTTATGTATTTGTTTCATCAATGAGTGTGAGAAAGGAATATAGAGAGGCACTCTCAAAAGGGTCTTCACCCCAGAGTGTATATGCCACCTCAGCCAGCCTGGATCATGGCACATGCACATCCAGTGCATACAAACAGGCCCAGGGATGAACCAGGGACCTTCCTTGTGCGTGTTCTTACATTGCCCCTGCACCACCACCTGCCTGGATGACACTCTCGTTCCTAGCTCTTGTCAAACTCCAAGGTAAATATTCCTATCACTCATTGGAAGGGACAGTGCTAAAAAGACATCTCAGGGCCCTCTTTATGTCATTTTTTCCTCAGGCTGTAGATAAACGTTTCATCATTGGGGTGACCACAGTGTACATAACTGAAGCAGTTGCACTGGCCTTGGAATTATGGGTAGCGGCTGAACTGAGGTATACCCCAAGACCTGTGCCATAAAACAAGAACATAATGGAGAGGTGAGACCTACATATGGAAAACACCTTATACTTCCCTCTGGTGGATGTAATCCTCAGTATAGAGGAGACAATCTAGGAGTAAGAATAAAGGATTCCAGAAAAGGGAATAATACCCATCAGTCCAGAGGAGAGATATGCCTCAATAACATTGAACAGGGTGTCTGAACAGGCCAGCTGGATGACCTGGTTGATTTCACAGAAGTGGGGGATCTCCACATCAGTACAGAAGGACAACTGTAATACTAGCAAAGTCCAGAGTAGAGAGTCCAGGATGCTCAAAATCCAGAATGTCAACAGCCTCAAGCCACAAAGCCGGGGGGTTCATGATGACCGTGTAGTGGCAGGGGTGACAGATGGTCACAAGCCAGTCATGGGCCATCACGTTCAGGAGGAAGATATCCAGCTCTCCAAAAAGGAGGAAAAAATATATTTGGGTGAGGCAGCCATCATAAGTGATGGTCTTGTTCTGGATGCAGATGTTCACCAGCATCTTTGGGACGGTGGTAGAGGTGAAAAAGATGTCACAGAAAGACAGGTTGGAGAAGAAGAAGTACATGGGAGTGTTTAGGTGGGAGTTGGTGATGGTGGCCAGGATAGTGAGTAGGTTGCTGGTCAGAGTAATCAGGTACATGAATAGGAACAGCCCAAAGAGGATGGGCTGAAGGTCTGCCTCTTGTGAGAGTCCAAGGAGAACGAATTCTGGAAAATATGTGTGATTTTCTGATTCCATGGAGCTGGAGTGACTGTTGGGAAAGAGGCAATACCAGCAATACTTCACAAAGACATTATCGGGACTAACTGTAATAGTGTGTACGGGATAGTTCTGCTTGGCAGGCAGAGGGCATATGAGAAACTCAGGTTTGCTTCTCCACCCACCCTAAAAGATCAAGCATAATGGTGGGTTCTCTAATCCCAATTGGAAGGTTGAGACAGGAGGATTACGAGCCCAAGGAAATTCTTCTCAGCCACTGGACACACGTGTATTGTGCCCAAGATCTCGAGAGGAGAATAGAGGAGAAAAAATTGTGGCATGGCCATTCCTTCTGGGAGTGAGGTGATTTCTAGCCTCTCTTTCTGGCAAGTACATGTGCCCGATAGCAAAAATTTCACTAATTAAAAAAAAAAAATGTGTATAGGGGCCAGCAGGTGGCACAGTAATTAAGGCACTGGACTCCAATATGACAGACTGTGGTTCGAGTCCCAAACCTGACCACTTGATTTCACACTTTACCTCTCTCTCTCTGTATCTCTCTGGTGAGTGCATGTGTCCTATAGCAAACTGGAAAATAATAGTAATTACAAATAAGTAAAATTAGATAAATGACTCTTAAAAAAAGAATCTGTATATTATTTAGATCAGTGTTTTACATGCAGGAGTGATTCTGTCCTCCTGGGGACACTTAGACATATATAGAGATATTTCTATTTTCCACACAAAGAATGAAAAAATTTAAAGATGCTGCTCAACATCATATGGTGCCCAAGATAGGTCCCTACAAAGGATAGTCAGCCCTAAAATTCCACACTGTCATGGCGATAAATGCTGATTCTCATACATTTCATGATTGTAAACAATAACTGTTTTCTAAATAATTATTTATTTTGTTTTTATTATTTTTTAAAAAATTTTGCTGTAGGGCTCACCAGAGAGCGAGACAGAGATAGACAGAGAAGGAAAGGGAGAAAGCAAGCTGTCAGGTTCTGAACTTGAACTATGGTCAGCCATTTGGGAGTCCAGTGATTCAACCACCATGCCACCTCCCACATGATATGATATGATATAATATGATATGATATGATATGATATGATATGATATATAATATGATATTCACTTGTTGAATTAAGGAGAAGGTGGGAGCTATGGAGCGGCTCTGGCTCCACTCTTTGAAGAAGGAGATCCAAGCAGAGGAGGAAGGAACAGCCTGTAGGACAAATTCCATGTATTTGAGTGTGATGGACAGTGTCCGAGAGTCCTCTAGGCCTATTGCCTGTGTGAAAAAGAGTGATTAAAGGTCCTATCCTTGAGGAAATGTCAAAGTATAAACACACCCACATATACACACAGTATGTAGTCATTTATCCAGTATCCACAGATTTCCCACATTTACCACTGAGAGCTTAGTTTAGGAATCATATCAACACTTATAGTTTTAGATCCTAGTTTCTCTATTTATAAGTAGGCATTCAATTCAGCAAGTGCTGGCTATTTTCTTTTTCTTTCTTTTTCTTTCCTTCTTTATTTTTTTCTTTTAAGAATTTTTGTCATAGGTTTTGTGCACTTGCTGGAGAGAGACAGAGAGAAAGGGAAAGTGACACATCATTTCCCACATGGAGGGATGGAGATGTTACAAT